ATACAGAATATGTATATTCAGCACTGCACTATCACAAGCATTTCCTCTTGTCTTTTATTAATGGGGTTCAGTATCCTTATACAGAATATGTATATTCAGCAATGCACTATCACAAGCATTTCCTCTTGTCTTTTATGTTCCCGGGGGGGGAAGTCTTCAGAATAGCCCAGTCTCACCACCTTTTTCAGGATCAGTTACTGGAAGCCCTTTGTAGCTAATGATTGTGTCATTTATTTTACTGGCCATTGTAGGGTTATTGATAAATGGGGCACTCCTGAAGGTAAGGTTATTCTGAACACATCTTCCTGCCTGACACTTGCTATCTTTGTTGAACAGAAGCTGAGTATACCTACTGCAAGCTGAATTACATATTGCCTAGTTAGTAGCATATACTGCAATAAAAGTGTAAAAGCTACAGTTGCAATATGCTTGTAAAAAAGAATAAAAAACTGTAATTCTCGTCTGTTCAGGAATACTAAGATAAAGTTTAGTCTAACTTGGCTTTTATTACCTTATGCAGAAGTGTTTGCAAAACCTTCTTGGACACTGTATTTAAATCCTGCAAAGTCATGGGAAGTAGTTCACTTGGTTTCTTTGATCTATGAACATTTATAGTAGTGCTGTCGCACAGGGATTCCTGCTAAATCCACACTTAGAATCCAAATGCCCAAGTTTCCATTATGGCTACAAGGTAGCACATGCGTAAAGGTACAGGTATTAAATACATTTTCCATAGAGACAAGGGGGCATTGCTAGCTTACTAATTCTGAAGTGACCTGGTAGTTCTTACTTGGTATTCTGCAAATCTTAAGAATGTTTTATTAGGCACTAAATACATTAGGACTATTGACATCCTGAAGTACTCCATTTTTAATAAGCTACCCTATCACCTGATGTGACAATAAAATTACAAAGATCATATTCATGAAATCAAACAGATTTTTCTGGCATTCTATCCAGGCTCATAATAAATATGCTCTCTTTTTAATTATATATTAATATGGAACAATTTTGTAGAGCTCTCACTGCATTTAGGCCTCTGTCTACCTAGAAATCTGTATTACCTGGAAGCATATAATGGAACAGAATTAAAATAGATTATGCAAAAACTGAATGCACAGTAGTCTAGTGCATGCACTGCTGTACCCCCCTCATCAATAGTTAAAGGAACTCAGCAATATTGCTGGCAAAATACTGCAAACAGTGTTGAAAAAATTAATGCAAGCACGAGATTGCTATTTCAAAAATTTCAGTTGGTAATTTCTTATATCTTCTACATACTTAATTAACGTAGGAGATAAAACATACCAGAGTCATATTATCAGATCTAGGCATGAAACAGTTAACAGCAGCGCACATGCCAAGGTTTTAATAAGGCTTAACAATAAAAAGCTTCAATCCTCCACTTTCACTAGATTTTGTTGTTGTGGTTTTCCCTTGCTTAGGGCAATCCATCTGTTAATGTTGACTTGCAATATAGTTAGCTCGTGCACGTATAAAAAGCCTAGAGCAGCTAACCTAAGCAAGAGTAAGCTGAAATGAATATTACAGAGATAGAACAATTCATCTTAAGCAAAGACTAATTGTGTGTGTGCGCGCACGCGCGTGCACACAGGCACGTATGAGCGCACTCCCGTTCTTTCTTTTTTTTAGGAAAGACTTTCAAAATGCAAATGATAGGAGGGCAAGCCAATCACTACAGTTTGCAATAGCACATCTAATTATTTATCCTCCGATTAGGTTTTGACAGCTATTTTACATGCTATAATTTGTTTTGATTTACTGTTAATTTTTTTTAAAGCCTATTGCCGATCTGGAAAAAAAATATAATAAAACCACTGTGACAGCAGTGATAAAGCTTAGTAAATATTCATTGTTAAAAATGGCTCTGCACTGTGACCAGTGCTGGTATTCTCCCTGGGCCAAACTGGCCTTGTTTTCAATAAAACCAGAGAAGTATCCTTTCCCTTGAGCCCTGTTAGGCTGAGGCTGCAGTTGGAACTGTCATCTTCACACAAAAGCAAAGGGGTTGGGTTTTACAAACGCAAAGCCTAATTGGGAGATCTTCATGGCTGTACCCTTGACATTTATTAAAGACTCATCAACAAAACAGGAAATAACCATACTAATTAGCAGACCCACATACAAACTACTATTTGTTGGGGTAAAAGCAGATTCACTTCCTATTGCAAAGGAAACATCCTCTCAGAACCCCAAAATCCTGTTATGAACCAATTATTAAAATGATCTTTTACAGTGAAGGAAACTTTCATATCATACGTAATGTTTCAAAGTCAATATGTTTCAAGCATCTCAGGTAACTGTTAGCATTTAACTGTCTCCAAGAAGTGGAGAATGAAAAGCTCAACACGCACATCTAACATGGCATAAAATATAACACCAAATTCTTTATATTTACAAGTGCTGAAATGTTTCAGTATGGAAGAGATAGTAATAAAGTGCAGGGGTGTCTCTATTTGGAAGCAAGATGACTGTTAAAAGCAATCTCTCCCTTTTGTTTGTTGTTTATTTAGGTTTTGGGAGGATATTCAAATACATCAACACTGCAATTTAATATCTGGTCCTTACTTTAAATATACATCAAAATGCATGAACTGCGCAATAGTACTCTCCTTATACTGCTATAGTCACTCAAGGGCACCATTTCAGAAATCTGGATGGAAAGGTTCATCTGCAGGATAAAGAGTTACAGAAAAAAACCTGACAATAATAGCAATCTGTGAAATTCACTTCTTTTAAATGGCAGATTCAGTAGCAGATCAAACATAGTATCTCTTGTGCACAGGCACTTGTGAAAATAAGTACATATTTTTATTTGGACATAAAGTCTAAAATCAGCACTTACTCATAAAGAACTTGCATTTATATTATCTTATTCAAAGACTAACCAAGAAGAAAAATAAAAAACAAAAGTAGCAACGGTAGCCATATTTTTTGAGAAATATTTGGGTTTGTTTGCTTTTGGAGAGAAGGAAAAAGCGGGAATAGTGTGAGTAAGAGGTGAAGGAAACTGCGTGAGACTGCAGCTCTTGGAGGGCGATCACCATTTGCTCCTTCTGGCCCACTGGGCTCAAGTGATGTTTGGGACAAGAGCTGAGGAGAAGACACGGGACCTTCTGTTTGCAGCAGGGCAAAACTGCGGGGCTATTAGTTACAAGCTTCGCTAGTAAACAAACCCTAGCTTTGTACGTGTATATGTACGTGTGTGTATACATACATAAACGTACATTTGTGTATATATATGTCTGCAAACAAAACTATGGACTGACATGCACTCTTGTTTTCAAAACTAAAAGATGACGGGTAGAAACAGCAACAGTGATATTAAAGGATTTAGCAGTACAGAGCTGTACGAACACAAAAACATGCAGAAGTTAAATTGTTCTATCCAAACACTGGCCTTCAAAAGAAATGTTTAATTGTACCAAGGTACATTATATTCTTTTGTATCCCTAGACTCCTGTACCTAACAGAAGGCAGCACTACCATATCAGTAAATTACTGTAGATTTCTTTAATAAAAGCAGCCTATAAAAATTCACTGACTCTATGGGTACATTTGTGTTATGTATTTACACAGATAGATATAACCGTAGATTTAGCTACACTAATCTGTGAATGTTGGCTTATAATGCATTAAAAGCTTTTTAGTAATTCACATTATCAAATTATTTTGGTGGAGGGGAAGTTGCTATATACTAAAATGACAATTATCTATTAGAAACAAATATTTTAAGAACCTTTCATGTGACTAACATTAGATCTCTATACTCATACATTTAGAATTGTGTATCTTCTCCCCCGATACCCAGTGAAAAAAAAAAATCTACTGTACACAAGTTCCTGAAAGAATACAGGCACCACAGTTGCCTGTATATAAAAATATACCGAGGGCAAATAGTATAGTACATTATCACTGGCTTTAAGAGATCACAAAAACATGTACAAAGTAAAACTTGCCTAAATAATTAAAGCAGAAAGTCTGTGTATTATTTATAACCCTACTAAAAATAACGACTTAATACCAATGTACAACTTCAACATGATTTAGCAATAATCTGCATCAGTTCTATGTTAAATTTCACAAACTTGATATTTATTATGGACAAAAAGTAATTCAACACAAAATTGATTAAATAGATGATTCAGATTTTTATCATTGCAATATCTAAAGTAAAAAAACCAAATGCTGTTAGATCAGCTGGAAAGTTCTGTACTTACTTCTTACCTTAGGAAGATATATGCATTAAAAATCCATATATAAACATTCATTACACATATTGAAAATATACAATAACAATAGAATGTAAAAATAAATACCCACAGATTAAAATATGTACATATGCAGGTATTTATTCCCAGAAAAAAAGTGTTACAAAAACTATGTTATTGATATTTTTGAAATAACACTGTCAAAATGAATCCAAAGATACTAAAACACTTGTCAAAGTTGAGACACTACACCTGTTACTTCAAATCAAGACTAGAAAGGATTAGAGAACAAAAGGACAAGGGATTGGCACTGTATTAACTAGCTGACTTATTAATAAAATAATAAATCATAACTATCTGAGCAAGGTTAAAAGCCATATGACTGCCAAATTGATTTATTAGAAATGCAAAATTAAAGTGCCCCACTACAAGAAACTATAAAAGATAGCTTAACACAGATCTGTGAATAGACCAGAATGTATTTGCTGTGAGAAGTCTTTATCAAAAACAGTATTTAAGAATTAAATCTCAGATCCATACTTAGAAATCTTATGTTTTTTTCCCCTCTCAACAGGGATGAAATACGAATAATATTTTTCCTCCATTCAAACAGTATAGTAGTATTTCTGCAAACATAGCCTTTTAATCACAGTATCCAAACACAGACAGTAAAACAATCTTAAACAGATTCACTGATGCATTACTGTAAGTGGCAAAAAATTTTCCTCATATGTATGTGAATAAGAGCAGAAGTTTCAGGTGTCTTACCTGTGCCAGTCTTCGTTTTTCTGAGTTTGCTCTTTTCTCATTATACAATGTGTTGACTGGAGCAGGCTGTACTGCACCAGCACTGCAAGTTCCATACTCTTCCTCACTCTCCTACACCAAAACAGATTTAAATTCCTTTATTTATAATCATTATCTGCAAACGTACCCTCCCTATTATGCATGCAGAATGCATTCAAAATTATCTTGCCACAATCTATTACTGTCATGAAAATACCATCTGTAGTAAGAAAATAAAATTTCACTTTTCAGGAAGCTGAATTATCAACATTGTCATTTAAAAGATGAATTGTTCAAACGTCTAGGAAATATTTTTCAAAGTTTTCTTAAAATAGCATAAAATATATCTAAAAAACGGTTCTTTCTCCCTACAGAAAAATCTTAAGTGGAAACAAAATTTTCAATGAGAAAAGCTGCTGCAAAATGCCTAAAACATCTTTTCTGATATTTCTGCAATGTTGCTTTTGCAAAATGAAACTATTTCTGCATTTTTAAATGTTGTCTTTGTCCACATATCTCATGAAGCCAAACCAGACAACTACACCTTCTGAAATACATTGCACTGAAAGACTCTCCCATCTCAAATTCTCAGCTTGAAGCAAAGGCTTCGATTGTGATATCAAAGCAATCAACTTTATGAAAACATACATCCTGTTAATGTATCTTTGAAGACCTCTGTTGTTCTATGATAAAATATGCAAACAATAAAGAGATTATTCAGTGGATGCATAGAATGACAGATAGTTGCCAGAGGGCTCGTTATGAAAAATGTATTGTTGAACAAAGGGCTAAGCATATTTCAAAAGTCATTAAAAACACAAATCTCATGTGATTTGTAAAGTATAAGCTTCAAACTGATACAGGAAGCAAGGTAAGAAAAAGTGTACTACATACCTTGGGTTTTAACTTACTCTTCACTTCTTTTATTCCTTGCCTTGCCTGATTTTTTGCCTAGAAAAATAAAAGGACTTAAGTAGCTCTGCAAGATGCTAGCTGTAGTCATGGAACATGCTTTATGATGCTATACTTATTTTACCTTTGGTTTTTTAAACACCTGGTGATATAAAGAAAGACAGTAACCTTCATCACAAATTTCATACATGCATTGTCAGTATATTTTATATATTCATGCTTTGTCCATATATTTAAGGATTTTTTTCAGTACATGCATGCCAATACTGTGAAAACATGCATACTCAAAAATTCTCCAGTATCGCTAAGGTCAGGCTAAAAATGGTCATATACATCACTCCTTTATTTGAAATGGTCCTTTAAATTTGAAAGGGTATTTTAGCAGTAAGGCATGCTGGAAAAATGTTAAGATTTTTCAAAATGACTGCTACAGTGTTCCAGTCTGGCAACTCGCAGGGCAACATCAATCTTAAGAGAAATGAAGGGATTTCATATGCAGATGGAGATTTTGCCCAGTGTTGCTGAACAGCATAGTGCTGCTATTTAGGGGAGCATTCTGTATGTATTAAAATAGGCAGCCAAAGATCACTGTTGCATAGAAAACAGAGCCAAGAATGTTCTTCAATAGAGAAATGAATTATCAATAGAGAATACCATGTACTTATGCTAAAAAAAAAAGAGAAAAAGAAAAAAGAGAAATAAGGAGAGGGAGCAGAAAAAAAAAAGAAGGGAGGGGGGAGGAGGGGGGACCAAAAACCCTAATAAAAGAAAGGGTATTTTTCTTACATGAACATAGGAAAAAACTACAAAAGTTTTCAAGGTTGTCTTGAAAGTAGGACTTTAAAAATATATTTAAGGGCATAAATATTTGGAATCCACCTATTTTTCTATGGTTTGCTGTACATGGAAATCCAGAAAAAGACAATCATTTTCTTGAACTGAGAGGTCAGAGAGTCTTTTTGATCCTTAAATCATACATCTATAAGCTCAATAACAGCACAATGGGGTGCCATGTAGCAGATGCTAACCTGAGAGCCACTTTCAACTTTCCAGATCATTCTCACAGCATTTGGATGAATTTTGGAGTGCTTTGTTCTAACTCTGAGGGCTGGTACCAAGCACATTACTCAAGACTACCAATCAGTTATCTAGCAATTAAGAAATGCATCTTTCATTTCTTTAGTAGCAGGCTCCATAAAGGGCAACAGAGTAAGAAATTAAATGGGGTATAAACAGGAGTAACTTATACACACAGATCCTCACAGAATTTACCAGCGTTTCCTGAACAGAAATTCACTTTGAAGAACCTTTGTTATCAAGGACATAATTATCAAAATTGAAGGCTGGGAGAAGACCATGTAACTAAGCTACTGCAAACTGAAGAATAATAATTTGCAGATAACCTGTTAATGAACAATTTTTTAAATTATAAATTATAAATGAGTTCATGAATATGAAGTACATTTAATTTATTTACCTGTTTCTCTCCATGACTGCTGTGTTTTTCAACTGATGTAAAATTAAAAATTCTGTTTGAAAACTTTACTTAAAATACACTAGCTTAGACTGATGTACTGATTTATTCAGGACTACTTATTATGCATCCAACTAGTGAAACATTGGGAAAAACAAAAAGGAAGCCAAAAGTCTTTTCCCATATATTAAAAATGCAACCTTAAAACACTTCCCACTTCATTTTACATTATTGCTATTTTTTTATACTGCACAATACTGTGTAGTTTCACATGCTTTATTGGTTAGGCAGTCTTTTAAAACAAGATCTTTTAAGCTCAAAAGTGTAAGTATTAAATCCAGTTAAACATGAGTATTCTAGTGTCATCTTTAAAAGAGCTGGTGCTAGAAAAGACTTGCTGCACACATTACTGATGCTTTACCACATCTTCTCCATAGTGCAGCACTTGGTGACAAAGTGAAATTGCATCCGTGTAAGCCAGGACGCCATTGGTCTAGCACGACAGTAGCTAGTTCTGAATAGAGAAGTTCTCTACATCATGTTAACACTATATACTATGCAACTATATACTATAACACTATATTTATATTACATATAAATGTAACATTTACAAAATGTTTTGCACTCATGTTAACTTTGCAATGCCTGTGTTGTGTTACAGGACCTTAGTGTAAATGTGAATTTCTCTTTTCAGAGTCCACATTTTAATCATGTTATCACCAGGATAGGAAGAGTTTACAGCTGTGTATCAAATATCTAAATGATATTCAAATTACCTTCTAGCATGTATTATGACTGAAACAAAACCAGCTCACTGATGCTTTGAAAATGCCTGTTGTTACATACAAGCTATATCTGGAAGACTCTGAATCAACTCTAAATCCTAGTGCTATATGAGAAAAGCTAAAAAGCTAAAAATGTTCTACAGGCTGAAGTGTTTTTCTGCAATACATGTATAAAATGCTTAGGTTTTTAAGTATTCAGGAAGAATGTGAGGTTGTAGGAAGTTGCGGTATTTTGATGTATTATTTATTTGAAAGAGATGGTCTTACAAATTTATATGCTGTTTTCACAGCCGGAGTGGCTTTGGTCATTGCTGTGTTGATCAGTGCACCGCCTTTCTGAAATACACAAAAAACATATTTTAGTAACATTTAAACACAAGTCAAACCTTAGGACAACAGCAAGGCAAAATAAACAGTGTGCTGTAAAGAAATAAACTTCCCTTTAAATCAGTCAGAATAACCACAGCTGTGTTTCCTCCCCACCTGCTGTCCGCAGCTACACAAGGGTTACAGTACGTCATTACTGTAGCTGACACATTTATCAATGCATTCTAACAGAATGACGTATTTTCATTCTTCATTCATTGTTACCATTTCAAAATCAATTCAGAAATTATGGCTACTTTTCATGTGTTCCTATCATATTTATTATGCAACTTTAAAATACTTTGACCCAACAGAAAGAATTCTCTCATTTAATCGCACAAGAATTCTCTTAATCTAAAATAACATTTTACTAATCCTGCAGAACAACAAGGTTATACCAAGGGTCTTCTGCTAGCCAAACTGCACAAATCCATATTAACGAAATTGTTATTTACTAGAAGTGATAAACTTCATATCTAATTCACAGTTATGGAATGTAACATGATACAGAAAGCAGTGAAATCCCTGACTATACAGACAGAAAAACCTTGTGCATTTGTTTTGCGTATGGGACTTTTTTTTTTAAATCTTCAAGAAAAAATCCATGTAATTATTGCATATACCATAAACTTGTTATTTATTATAGAATGTACTTATATTTATTTTCCTTGCAAATGAATGAACTTTTACCATTACATATATGTAAGGAAAAGGACAAAGACTTAAACAGGATAGTCAGTATAATTACTTAACCAAGTTTATACCTTCACTGTATGCATCCACTGCTGATAAGATCTTGAATTTCCTGAAATAGAAATGTAAAATGTAACCCAATCAAACATTTTAAATGTTTCAACCCTCCTCACAATCTGCATAAAAAAATTCCCCTAGAGGATTATTCATTAATTTCATTCTTCCCAGATAGACAAGGAATGTAAAGATAGGGATATGTGTGCACTAAGAAAAAAACATAGGTATCTCTTATTTCCTGTTATCTATTTTCTTTGTAAAAGCGTATCTTTTCACCACACAGAGTTTTTAATTCCAATTGAGATAGAAAGGGAAATTAAAACTAGGCTAAGGTACCATTCTGCTAAAAAGTCTAAAAACACCAACTCGAGGGAAAGAACAATATATAATGAAATGCATTCAAGCATAATGATCCCACTGGGCAAACTTGCAAGTACAAAAATGACATGGACTGCAGATGGTACCATCCCAAGGAAGAAGAATGAGAAAAAAAATCTAAGGATTATGGCACAACTATATACTCCTGTGCAGGGAAAATCCTTTTAAATTATTAACTGTATCTGCTTTCTTTCACAAAGGAAAACCTCTAAAAGGCAAGTGAGAGCTACCAGCTTCTGTAGGACTACTGCGGACTATTGTGCCACTAAGCTGGCCATGAAGGACAGGGGTAAATCCTACTGAGCACTTGGTGAAGAAATTAATACTATTTCCCAAAGGTGCTTCAGCTGAACACCAAAGATTGGGTCCCTGATCCCTAAGAAAGCTTTAGATGACATCAGTCACTTGAACACTCTGGTACTGGGAGCTGTTACTAATCCCAGACAAGACATTCACATTGACAAGAACATTGAAGTTTCAGAGAGTTTATCCATTTTGAAAGGACCATACTGATACATCCTTGACTTTTAACAGGAGTTCTCAAATCTTCTTAAGCTTTGCAATAATCAATTAACCAAAGACTGAGTGGAATTATTCCATTGGCTAGCAGAAATCCAAAACATTCTCCTAGAACACAGCTGAGAAATAACCAGATCGTTCTAAAAGGAATTCCCAAGTTTCTCAATGAGGTGAAAAAACTGAGCTGTTTATACTCATATCAGGCACTTTCACCCATTCCACTAAATTCTTTACAAGCAATTTTGATGCTGCCAAACTCTCAGGAATGATGGCACAAGTGAAAGCAATGCTTGCTTAGAAAGGAGAGAACCTGATGATCATTATGACCCTATCTCCAGTAAGAACATCAAAGAGCAACCTGAAGCAAAAGGGCTCATTTTTTACTACTTCAGTCTGGCTCCCTGGAACCACCAGAGAAGGTAGAATGCAAATAACATGTCATAAGGTGAAATTTAACCACTGCTAGTGTGTTAATGAAATTTTGATGAACCATAAGTACTTTCTCTAACGTGACATTTCGTAACTTCATATTCTTATCAACAATATTCACGTATCACCTGGGTTGTTGTGTCCTTAACAGTGACACTTTCCACATGTGAGCTTTCTCTGTCAAAGCCTATGACTTAAGTGATTAATACAGACAGTAAATGAGATCACAGAAAATCACCACTGTCTTCTAGTTGTGTAGAGACTTCAGGGAAAGCAAAAGAAGAAAACAGATAAATACTAATCTACAGAAAACGCCGCGTTAACGCTGCATACCCTCAGCTAGACTTGAGCCTCCTGAAACGCTAGCAAGAAAATGCTGACTCCTTAAAATAAATTATTATTAGAAGAGAGGTTTTCACTTTTTTAGTTTTCCTTATACTACTACCACTGATATTAGACCAACTAAAATTACTGCTGAAGTAAAATTCATGTAATTACAAATTACTTTAATGGTTATATTCTACAAGTGCTAAGCCAATCAATCATAACTATGTTGTTGTCTTGAAAGTTACATAAAGCTCTTGAGATCTAATACTCCCACAGAATAATACATGTAACAGAAAATAAAATTTTAAGTATAAAGTGCAAACTGTAATGAAGATGGCTGACAAATTTCTTTTCACGTATAGTCACAGGAAAATAAAAGTTTTGACCAATTTACTTGAAAAAAATCATAAAAAATAATGAAATCTAAGTTCTCCAATTTCCAGTTTAATTTTCTGTGCTGTTTTAGTTATGCTCACATATGTGTAAAAATGCAAATTAAAAGAGAGATTACTGAAAGAAACACTTCCCATTTGATTCAGTAATTTTTAAATTATACTCTGTATAGCTCAGAATATGTTCACCTGTCCTTTTAAAAGCTTATAGCTTACACTAACTTTCTGTGACTTTTCTGAAGGCTGGGTTTCACCTGGTTTTTTAAGACCTTGGGCTCCCTGATAAAGTTGATGGGAGTTAACTCTGCAAAGAGATCATAGTTCTACCCCATTAGCGTCACAAAATGTCACCTTCAATTGCATACATATTGTTAGCCCTGCACTTCATAACAATAATGAGACAGCAGTTATGTAAATACTGAATATGTGCCCTAAGCAATTTGTCCACAACCTGGCAATATACAGCTTGTCTGACTTGAAAAGTAAGCACGCAGCACAATCTAACTGGGAACTGCTAGCGGAGCCGAGCGTTCTCTGCTGAGCAGAGCCAGGTGAGACATGGTTCACAGGCTGCCAGCATACAGCCGAGAAACAAGCTTTATCTAACTTCTGTTGCAGTTTTATTGCAGCCTCCTGACCCCCTCATTGCAGTCAGCGAACAAACTTTGAATACTGACACCACCTATCTGAATAATGGATGCTCAGTGCCTAAAATCTGTTTACAGAGCAGCATAAGTTACCCTAAAAAGGTAGAAAAGACGTAAATCTCTGTATAACTAACCACACTTTAATCAAGAAAAAAATAATTATGTGCTAGATCATAGCACAAGACAGGGGGGGCAGGAAAAGGCAGTGAAAATCTTGAACAAAAGGATTTATGTACTCTGAGCATAAAAAAAAAGGTATTTTACAGAAGATGAAGATGGCTCTGCACCACTCAATGATTTCTCTGTGGGGGCCAAATCCTCTCCTCCGTAAATATGCCCATTTAAGGTTAGTCTTGCAAAGGAAGATGGTCTAAAGCTGCCATATGCAACTCAGAGGATTTGCTCAAATCACTTAACTCCCATTTACTGAGAAAGCTTCTACACTACTTTAAAGACCATAAAACAGTATTTGTGCTGTGGCACACACATTTTGATCCAATATTTTGAAAGCAAATGTGATACCTCAAATAATAATATAGCTGTAATAGCTGTCTACAGGAAATCAATCAATAAACCTGTCATATTCAGCAATGGATTCAGCACGCACTCTTCTGTATAGGTTAACTTTGTAAAGCTAGTTAGTGTGAAAAGCGTTAAAACAATTGTCAATGAACATAACTGAGGGAAACAACACAAGGAATAATGTTTTTATTTATGACGGTAAAGTTTCAACGTTCCTTCTGAGATGATATACAAATGTTAATTTTTTTCCCTCTTTTTTAAAGTAATACATTTGATGGAGAAAGTAAATTTCTCTAAAAATTCAGGAAATCACTCTGATTTCTGTACTGCGGAAATAATTAGATGTGAAAAAAGTTTAAAATGTTTATGCAAAACATATCTAGAAAAAGTTCAGCAGCACAAATTTCAAAATTATTATTAAAATACAGTTTACATATAATGTATCACATTATGTAAACATGCAGTTAAAAATGTAAACAATATAGTGATATTTCATCGTATATTGAAATCTAAATATTATTTTACTGGATTAAATCAATGCATCTTCATTTAATACACTGACATAACTAGATATGTAATAGTGTCTGTCCCAGCAGTGATTTGTTAAAGGCTGAAACCTTTCCAAGAATGAATGGATACAATGACTTCCAAAATTTACAGGACATCCTGACATCATCATCATCATGTTGAAGAAGCATCATCAGTGAGTACACTCAAATTAATTCTGTACCTCCACAAAAGCCTCCTGCTGTGATTTCTTCTTCAAAAACATCAGAGAATCCCCTTCCTGCATTTAATTTTGATAGTCGACCATCAATAAACTGAAAAAAAAAAGTCAGAGTTTGTTGGCCCTTCTCTTACTATAGAGTGTTATAGTTTGCAGTGCGTACATTATAATGGAATAAGGATGTTCAAGACAATATACAGCTTACGGATAATATATTGCTTTTAGATGGATTTTGCAAAAGCAGTTGCAACTATGAGCAGCAGAGATACCAGAGTATTTTATACATATATCAAGTAAATTATATGTTTTTACAAATAGATTTGTAAAATTTTAGAGTAAATGAAATTACACATCAGTTTGCTCAGAAATATTTTAAATGCTTTTCAAGCTTTTCTTGCTTTTCTAATGGCATAAAAATATATTATTCCCTTACAAATGGTAACTTTGGATTTGCCATGAGAAACAAATAAAAATCACTGAGAGGCTCCCTGCTGTTCTGTTTTTAAATCGTAAGTTTACTTCGTATCACCAACAAAAGAACATAAACAAACCTCGCTATGATATCCCTCTCTGGGTACGCATCAATGGGTCCAAAGTAGAACTACTTGTGCACAGAAAGTACCTTTAGAACAACTGGAAACACTTCACCACACCCAGTTCAAAGAAAGGATAGGCTACAACATCTACTTGAGGTCCACTGAAAGTGTATGTGTTGTACATGAAAAATGACCCTGTAAGGACAGTATGTGAAGGGGAAATAGTAGCAGAACCATCCACCCAGAAACAGCAGAGGAGGGGCTTGGTTTCAGAAATGGTGGTCAAATGGTTGGATGTGTGCAAACAGGCTCGAAAGAGGTTTCACTGAAGCGTATGGGAACATGATGCGTGAAGTCCCAAACCAAAGTGAGGTACAATGGCAAGGAAGACCCCTAAAACCCTGTCCACCTGACCGAGCACAGTTCAGGGTTGACACCACAGTATTTTTAAGTTCCAACACATCTGTTTGCCCTGTTTTTAACCACTAACACTTCTTTAGGTGCACCTACTGATGCAGATTGCAATAGTTGTCCTTACGCAGAGCTTACAGCTGCATGAGCACATGGATTTGTGGATGCCCCATCCCTAGAAGTGTTTAAGACCAGGTTGGATGAGGCTTTGGGCAACGTGGTCTAGTGGGGGGTGTCTCTGCCCACAGCAAGGGGTTGGAACTAGATGATCTTTAAGGTCCCTTCCAACCCAAACCATTCTATGATTCTACGATTTGCATCCACATGTAAGTGTACATGGAAAGACAGAAATTATTCAAATACATCAGAAAAAGTCAAAGATAATAAATGATTAAACCTTTCAGAAGGAATTAATACATTCTTTTAAAGAATTAACAGGCTTCAAAGTAGTACAATGAGCACATTCTTGAAGGTTTAAGATTCTTTCAAGAAGCAACCCCTCTCTCCTTGTTTTGAAAAGGCTAACTCAAGTCCGAGAGATAAGAGTGCGAAAGCAGTTTTCCAGTTGTACACAGTTCATCTTCTAACAAGAATGGTGAGTTATTCACTGGTACTAAGCAGTACATAGAACTAACCAAAAGTAATTATTTGGCTATATCATATTTTACCACAGATTATCCAAACACTGTCAGTGACAATCTGATGCTTGTCAATGAACAGACTAGTGACATGAAACAAATTACTTTCTCAGAGTACAAAAATTCCAGTAGCAAGAATCAGGCAAGCACAAAGATAACTATTTCTTTCTCTTTCTTGTCTACATTCCTTCCTATTTTTCCATTTTACTTCAAACTGGCTTTTTTCCAAATAGGTTGGTTCATGGTCAGACCGCTATGGGATCACTGGATTATTTCACAGTAAGAAAAAAGAGGTAAGAGCATCTTTAGCTACTGCTGTGGAAAAAAACCCAAACAAACCCCAACCAAAAAAACCCCACAACACCTGCCCTTGCCCCATCCCCAGCCTTTGAACTGTAAGACATTATCTCTTTTGAGAAAGTTATGAATTCGTTCCATACTATAAACTAACATAAGATGTATGGCCATATTCATCATTTGGTAAAATTCTATCAACAATCAAAGTCTGAGATACTGACTGAATTTTAGTTTTTAGAGGATCACTCCAACTGAGTATTTAATGTAAATACTGACAAACAGAACTGTTAGCAAAAAGATAGTGGAGACATTATTTAAAGGAAATTATAAGTGTTAGTAGTGGTAGTAGTAGTTATTGCTTTTGAGCAATTTACTGTTAATGGTTGCGCTTAAATTGCTACACGGAAAGAAGAGTGCATGGAAACACACATACACTTCATGGTTTTCTCCTCCCATTTTTCAAACCCACACTCTTTTGAAAAAACTGTGCCTGATATGTCAAGAAATGCATTCACTTTGAGATCCAGAGGGCCCTTGGTTGACTACCACTTTCAATGAAAAACTAGTAATTCCAGTGCTACTCTTGGACTTTAAACTGACTAAAGAGAGAACTACTATAATCGTTAAATAATTTTGAATTCTAAAACCAAAATATAGACCATATCCCCTTCGAAAGATCTTGTTGCACAGGTGATAAAGGGTGGGAGATGAGAGATGATGTTTGTGAGCTAAACTCAATCATTTCTTTAGGCAGGAGTAAAAATTCCAAGTCAATGCACTCAATGTTAAAAAAAAAAAAAAAGCTGGTAGAAGCAAAGAAAACATCATAAATATGATTTCCACACAACAACAGCTTCATAGCTTGCAAGAAGAGAGCTCAACTCAGAAAGCTTGTAAATGAAATTTGAAATTACTAGTAATTTTCAAAGACTTATGATTCTTCAAGTCCTAATCCTGCATTCATTATTTATTTTTCTAGTTGCACTTTCCAGCATTTTAGGAACAAATACCAATAAATGTTGCAGATTACTTATACAATTACAGTATTTAACGATAGTCTAGCTAGTTGTAAGAATGAAATAATATTTTCGCTGGACTCTCATCAGAACTATTTGACAGGCAAGATGCAACTATTAATTGCTTATGTTTGTAGCTTGAAATAAAGATCAGCTACTTTCCATGTTACCCTAATTAAAGGGGAGCCTTTCTAAGGCTCAGAAAAAGCTAACAAATAGATAGCATACATAATAATAACACAAATATCAAAGATGTGGAAAAAAAAAAACCCAGTGAGAAAAGTATACAGTCTAAGAGAACAAACATTTAATCTGAAGAAACACTGTCATATTTAATGAGGAAATTAGAATATTTAATATATAAATAATAGTTATTTTCTTTGTAAGGAAAATATTTTTATATCATTAAATACCCTAACCATTTAAGAACAATGACATCCAGGGTTTTTAAAATTAAATCTATTCAGGACAGAAGACAACTTTAGAAAACGAAAGCCAACAAATTGCAGCAAATTGAACTTCACACATCCCTATAGTTGTGATTGATGTATTTATCGTAAATTATTTCTACGAATTCATGGAAAATGTATGTTTTGCATAAACAGTTTGGTGTTTTCTTTTTCAGAGCAATATAAACAGTCCTTTCAACTTCCAAAAACGTGAAGTCATCAACCTGATTTAAAAGACATCTCCATAATTTAGTAGTCCAAGAGAATGGTTTGAGGCTAAAAGATAATTTAGGCATGGTCCCTGCCAAAAATATCCTGTCTCAATTTTCAGTAAAGACTACGATGCTGAATTAGGGAACAAAAATTCAAGTGTTAATGAAAAGGAGATACAGAAATGGACATTATAATACCCGAGGAATAAAACTTGAGTCAAAAACCCCCTAGATTCACCTCTGTTACATGATTCTAAGGAAACTATCACATATATTTGGCAGTAATTTTTTTTTTTTTTTGTCTATCAAGGCAAAGGAAACACAGTTGAGATGAAGAATAACAGTACCATTACTTAAAAAACAAAGGTTGTGATAAGTGCTGGTCTGTCAGTTTGCCCTTAATTCGATGAGGCTTATAAATAGATTTTTGGGGGGGGGGAAATAGTAAATGAGTAAATAAAAAGATATAACATATGAGTTATCAAAACACTGGTTCTCACAGATTCTTTGACAATTAATTTTCTAGCTAAGGGAAATGCAATTTATCCATGCCAAAGAAAAGCCTCTTGCATATGCCTGAAAATACTAGTTTAGGTGAAATAAAAGCAGAGTACCTGAACAGTACACCTGAACTTGAGGTTGGATGAGGACTGGCCCCAAAGGGAGATAACAGCTTGTAATGAAAAGTGTCACCGGTCAGGGTATTTAAGAGTAAGCGTTGGGACTGATCCTATTTAGAGGTTAGTTAATGATTTTGGTACAAAAGACTGGTATGTGCCAACACATTTGGGGATACCATTAACAGAAAACACACCAAAATGCAATACAAAGTAAAACCAGATGATGTTGAAGATGAAAATACTCTGAATGGGAGTAACACAAAGAATTCCACAATTTACTGCAACGGTGATTTCCTGATACTTTGGTGAAAAGATACTATAACTTCCAAAATTAAAAGAGTGGGTAAAATAGAGGAATTAACACGTTTTAACGGAGGAGAAAGGTGGAGAAGATTAAAAACCCACAAAGAAAGAAGGACAGAGGGAGGATTTTATGAAATGACACAAATAAAGCTTACTTGTCAGTTATGGCAAAAAGGAATGCCTTTAAAGTACCTATTTTCTGCTTGGTCTAGGTGTAAGGTGGCTTCTAACAACTATTTTCTCCTTAAAAGATTTTCCAGAACAGAATAAAATATGGTTTAGTCTTTTTTGAACAGAAAAAACTTTGAAAACAGCTCATTTGTCAGTAGGAAAAACTGGAGAAGATGCAGCTGGGGCTGAGGATTAGCTGAAAAAGTAGGAGTAACCTTCACAACAGAAACTAGAGGAATGAAAAAAAACCCACTACTACTACTACTACTATTAAACCACACACATCATCAAAATCGTTACTATTTCCTAATCCTCTAAAATATATTATTTCCTTTAGTTGAAATAAAATTAAAACAAGCTATAAACAAACTGTAAACTGATTCTGTTTAATTGAACACATATTAAAATGTAATGGGTAAGTACAGAGCCACACTGACAAGCCCATTCATTTCAGTGGAGTTAAACCTTTTCCTTACAGCTGAAGATCTTGCTTTAGTAGCACTAGTGTGAAAACAATTTAGAAAAATTGCTTGTAGGCAGCTTTCTATGAAGAAAGTTTCATGCTAGCTTATCACACTGAGATACGCAAAATGTAAACAACAGTGTTTACTCTGTTACTTCTTTCCATTTCAATAATATATGCTGGATATCTCAAAAGGTTTCAGATTTCTTATTGGCTTATGTTTTTATTTACATTTTGTTATTGTATAAAATAAAACACAGTAAAATTAAAGGATCCCATCTATGATCAGTATTTCTTTAACTTTTATACAACTGGAAGAAATATATTTTCACAGGACTTCTACAAACTATCATCCTTGCATAAATCTTTACTTTAGACACCAGCCTCTGATTAACACCAACTGTTTTTTGAAAATTAGAAGATTCTGCATATAATGAATTTCCCTTATCTATCGTGGTAGTATATCTTCAAAGAAGTCCACCAGATCATTTAAACATGAACTCCCATGCCTCAATCATTCCAGATATTTGCAGGCAAATATATACCTTTATGGAGCATCTCATTTCATTCAGATTTTCCTTGATTTTCCTATAAATCTAGTAATAAGTTTCTTAAAACCCTTTTGATGCCATGGGGTCATGTGATGAAAGGGGGAAGAGGACTTACAGAATAAAATCAAAGAAAAAAAATTTATTTCAAAGACTGTAATAAAACTATTACTGAGTTGTGCCAGACATTCAACAATTTGTTCTCTCCGAGTTCAAAATCTGTATTAACAGATCAGCTAGAATGTTCTTCAGGCCACCCCTTTGGCTTGGGTTTGTAACATTCTCTGCATGCACACTTCAAAAAGCCTAGCAATGAAAACTGCAATTACAGTATGAATCCAGTTTTTAAATAAGACGCTATTGAAGTCCAATTTAAGTAAGCACTATGTTGTTTAGGTTCTTTGGTCATGAGCCAAGAGAGCTGAAAATGAAGTTCAACCATCAAGCTGGAAGATCCAAGATTTTTCTTGTTTAGATGAGTTGCTGACTGGCTTTGAAGACCTGCTGCACTGGCTCTGCACCCTGGGGTTATTTTTTGTTGAGTTTGCCCACCACCACTCTTTTTAACTACAACTGAAGATTTAAAAATACAATGAAACCAGGACTTTCTGTACCCAAAGTACTTGTACTTATATTTTATCCCAGAGTTTCATAAGCTGACAAAAGGAAAATGTATTTAAATATGGATATATTTTAAAAGAAAATCATTAAACATGAGTCATTTACCCTCTCATACCTGTTTAAACAGTTGAAGATTAATGGCGGTTTCCAGAAACTGCTTAGTGGTACTGGAACGATGCTTCACAAAACTATTCTCACAGAAAGTTATAGGCTCTCCCTAAAAAATTTAAACAGAAGAAGTTAGATGGTAACTAGAGTTTACAAATAAGCCGATTTACTTAAAATTCTCCATTACAAACTTATTTCTTAATAGTCAAAACATTACAGATTATTCCCTTTCAAGCAATCTCTATAAACATGCATCCAATTAAATAGATGTAGACCACAACAAATAAGCCTAAAATCTTCATACGTTATTTAAATAGTTCTCAAAATACATGTTGCAATTGAACCTCTGCTTTATGAAGTCAGTCTATAAAATACACATTGCAAGGAAAAAGTGGTTTACAGTTAGTTCATGTTATCTTTATAGCACTCATTAAAAATTCCAAAGTGGTTCAAATTTTGAGGAAGAACAGGTCTACTGCTTCAAAGAACTCAACGTGCATTATTGTTCAAGATTACTCTGATTCATTGGCATGCTAAACCAGCAATACTAGTAAACCAAAACTCTGATTCAGCCCAAAAACATGTATCTAGACCAAACTATTTTTATATTTATTCTACCAAAGCATAGGAAAATTGAAAAATTTAACAAGAAGTTATTGAAATACACTATTTTATTTTTACACAAAATAAAAGCTGCAAACTTTTTGCAACATTGTTAGGGAGAAAGTCTGAACAGATAAGATTAACATTTAATACAATAAAATGTATTTCCCGAACATGGGAAAAGCACATAGCCTATAGTTACCAAAAACCTTGCATGAAAACACTTTGATGATAAAAGAAGATAAACAAGTATTCATTGAATACTTATTACTGAAAACAGCACTCATTTAAAAATAAAAGATGCTAATAAGATTTTTTATAAACAATCAAATTGACTCCTATGTTATTCCCTAATTTCACTGAAAATTTGCTATCTTCAGTGTGCAGAGACTACTGGACATTTCTGACGAGCATCCTCTCCAATTCTGTTACTCTTGTCAAAACTTCGTGACAAATAGCTGAAGCTGTTTGACTGAACTGGATAAATAATAGGTACATCAAAGTTTGTGTAGTGATCAAGGAACATGAACTGATTTCGTCATAAAGCCAACAAGCCCCTCACCCAAGTTTACAAAACAAAAATAATTACCAGGTTAGAAACAATTACCAAAAGTCTCAAAGACAGAAAATTTGGAATCCAACAAGATGCCACACCTAAACCTACCACAGAATATTTTACTACCCAAAAGCTACACGTACAGCGCATAAACCAACAGAATAAAAGACACCTCAGCCATTCAAAAGAAAAAGATCAGAGACGGCTGCTATATTGATCTTCACAATAGCTCCAACTGCTAGCCACTTTAAAGACAAATTTATTCATGCCCATGATCACCACAGCTTTCTGCTCCTAACCCTATTTAACTGCACATGCTACTTCATGCATTTTCCTATCATTCTGGCTGACTGTGCAGTTATGTGCTTCCAGAATACCACAAAGCATTTTCTGCTTGTGACCTAGCTGAGTTTGGTGGAACAGCTCTAAACCATTTTCAACTGCTCCTTGCACTTTGTTTTGAAATGATTCAAGTATGATCCAAGGAAACGTTGCAGTAAAAATGCTGTGATACCATTTTAAAATCATATTCTTATTCTATCAAAAGCTTCCCTCTTTTTAAGTCTCTCTTTTAAGAGGTCTAATCCTACTCAGCAAAGTACTTATGTTCATGTTTAACTTGTTTTTACCTTTTACATCCTTACCTCTTTATGGAACCTCTGATTTTAGAAAAGAAATCTCACCGGAAGAGCTGCAGCCTATACATTTACCTACCGTAACCCTTCCCCTTTCACAGGGCAGCTGGAATGCTGTGATACACAAACCCATCTCAGTACAATATGTAGCACTGTGTCGATCAGGAGAAGCACCCAAGTTACTCCACCTACTACTTATCCTGGGAGATAACTGGCAAACACTGTACACAAGCAGGACATGGCTGGATCTGCCAAATAGCTTGAAATGCTTGTGGTACTTTAAATAGCACTGCCTTCCTGACCTACTTTGCATTAGCTATTCTTGAGCTCCTAAAGACTCTTGTCTTAAGAAGATGACCCCAAGCTACTTAGCAAATTCAAAGTGCATCAAAACAAATGGAATAGTCTCCAGTGAGACATGGTGGTACAAGACACACTGTTCCTGAGGGCAGACTCTCTTCTCAGCTCTATCGTTCTCCCAAAAAAAATTCAAGGCAGCAAATTATAACAACTCCTTATTTATAGATATATTTTGTTGTTGCTGTTGTTACACAAAGAAATGATTTCTGGAAATACGGAGGCTTTGTGGGAGCGCAGAACTGACTAGATGATGGCTCATGACATACTATGAAACATTACATTTAGGACCAAAGAGAGAAAATAGTATTTTCAAAATATACTATTTAGAAAAATAAAAACTAAGCTATGCCTCCACTGCCACTTTCCCAATTCTCTTGGGAAAGATGAAAGAGAAAAAGGGGAGGTTATCTCCCAGCAGAAGACAAAACAGGCCTGCTTGCTCTCCCTTTCACATCAGCCTGGGAAGTGAGAGCAGTCAGATAGTTTTACTTGATGGCACTTCTCCCGCCTGAGCCATGTAACAGAATGCCAGGAAATGGTAGTTCGACACACATTTTTAGCGCATGGCTGTAATATTTTCCCAAACACTTTCCTTTAATCGCTGGATGCTTCAGATACTTAGTAAGCACTCATGCCTTGGTGCATCTGTTCCCTTATCAGTACAGTTCAGAGACAGAATAACCAGAGCTATTCCTTAGCTGAAAATTTATTTAGATCTATAAAGAGTTCACATCCAAAAGCTATCTATGTTATTTGAACCTACTGATAGCAAGGTTGCTTTAAACATCTCAGTAGATTTAAAGCTCCTACCTGTTCAGTACATGAAAATGAGAAAATCCGTTGAAACCTGTAGAAATTCCACACGGAAGTTTTCTCAGGGTATCTGCTGTAACTTTACTGAAATTGCATTAAATAGAACAATTAACTCCTAGTTCTTTTATTTGTTCAAGGCTCTGAACAACACTTTTCCAAAAAAAAAACTTTTACAAATTTTCAAGATTATTACTGTAAACACAAAGCCTTTTGAAGTGCTATTTATAAAATAAATAACTGAATCAATATAAAGAAAAATAGCTGTAGAAGTTTTCATACATAAAGCTTATAACATTCTCATTTCTGCAAATACAACCAGGTACCTTTAGAAACCGAGTTTTGGAGGAATGCTCCACTGATATTTAACTACTAGACCATCAAATGGCCCCTGTCATATTGATCTACAACGTACTTTCAAAACAAGTTCGATCAAAACCCAGTGGGGACTCTATACTGAAAAGTAGACAGCTAATACTCAGACCAAACAATCTATGCCCAAACAAGATCTCTGTCCTTTTAACAACAGTTGCTATAGAATTTTCTTCCCCTTTCATAGCTTGCCACACACAGAACTCTAAGCTACATTCACATTTTAAGTAACCTATTTATGCAGACCTCAATGGAACATGAAAACAGTGAGCTAAAACAGCGCGATCAAACAAAAAATAATCTAGATTAGGAGGGTTGTTTGTGCTTTCTCAAACTAGTGCTATTTAACTTCAACAAGAATTACAAACATTTTAATCCTTTATTTCAGAAAACATTCCTATCTCTCTAGCATGAGATGACTCATATCAACTATTTGTACTATTGCTATAATTAATACTGTTTCTTATGGTAGCTCTCGCTTATTACACAAAGACGATAGGGTAGATAGGCATGGGCATAGCTTCTTCAGTTTTGTATAATTCATTAAAAAAAATAAACACCATTTTGGTTTTGATATTAAAATTCCTCTTTTTAAAATCAAGGAAGTATGAAGCTGAAATTTCATCTGCTGTCATGACATTCAGAGATAAAGGCCAGGGGATAACCGAGTATGACCTATGATTCTACTCAGGAAGGCGTCATTTAAAATTACAAATTCTTGCAAAATTTGCACATTTCTTGCAATCCACCCAAAAAAAGGGTTCAGATGTGCTGATATTTCTTGTAGTTACAATTAAACCCTACAACAACTCCTATTAATGCAATATCTATATTCAATAAAGGACTACTACAGTCCTTAAGACAAATTAACCAATATGGTTTTCAACATGTAAAATAAAATTCTTATGGAAATCACAGTAAATAGTCATAACAGATATTTCACAGGGAGGGTTCTGGATTTAAACACAAACTATGTTCTAGCATTTCATTACTCTTTGTTTCTGTACTCTGCTGTACTTTTTATGCCAAACTCTTTGGGGAAGGGTGAACAAGTCAATGCTCATTTCAAGAGATACCTGTCCTCAAAAGGTTTCAGTTTGAAACTCAATTATAAGCACTCATTACTTATACATTCTCAAGTAATTCAGGTGCATTCTGAATATTAAAATATCTTTTTTTCCTAACATAACATTTAATTGTATTATTTTGATTTATTGCATATTGAATACAATACCTGCATCTGTTGGAAAGCCAATGTCACTACTTAAAATAGTGTCAATATTGGCCCAAAGCACTCCAGTTAGCATTCAATTAAAGTGAGGTCTGACAGGTTGTGCTATCTTCAAGCTGGAAGTTATCTCGGCACCCCTGGTGTACTGATGAGACCATGAACTCCTACTGCTGAGCATTCCAGAGCAAGCCATTAGCCTTTGCTCTTCATCTCTTAATTTCTGATGAGTGATGTTACAACCATCATCATTCAAAACAAAGCTATCCTGGGTTTTCTTCTTTTGTTTTAACATCAAGAGCTTTGAGGACTTTTCTCCCAAAAGGGGTGATTTTTTTTTTTCAACAACTTCATCTTTTGTTAGCTAATTCTTGAAGAAAAGTTTGTTTTTCAAAGGTAGAAAATAAGTTACTGTTGCTTATATTCCATAATCTTTTAATAGATGTGTCATAAGACTATTTGTTTACTTGCAATACATTTGAAATGTATTTGTCTTACCATGATGAATTACCTTTTTTAAAAAATAAAAAAATCATTTTTCTTCCTGTGTTTCATTTTTCCTGTATTACCTCCTGATGTTTGCTGCTTAGGAGCAAACAACTTTTCTGCTTTGCTTATTTTCCTGATGATGTGAAAATTAATCTTTATCATGGTGAATACTTTATACTCGTTATTTTTCCGCTCCTACCTCATTTTCTTATCTACTTCTCCCTCTCTAGACATAGATTGGGAATATTGCCTGTTTAAGAATTCTTTGCATCATACAGTGTTTTATTAACTGACCATACAGTCTATGATTAATGGAAAAAAATGTGCTAGTCTTGGCTTTCATCTGCAAGGTTTGCACAAGTACATGTGTAAGGCCCATTCCCTCTAGCCATCACAGAGTTGTTAAAATATTTGACTGCTTTGCTCTTATCTGGTATAAGGAAGGATGCCTAAAAATTACCCATGAAGAATGTGTAAAGTAAAATAGCTAGAAAAAACCAACATTGCACATACATTGATTGACAAAATGACACAAACTGTAATTTTTAATCTAACTCCCACCTATGCATGCAATTCTGAAATATGGAACATGCAATATTATTCCATGAATTCCCACATGCTGGACTACCAAAAGAAAAGAGGAGCAACAAAAGCTCCAAGGCTAAGCTGTGACCACCCAAAGTAAACATAATTTGGATTTGTATATGCATTTACATGATGTAAGAAGCACTTACCTCACTCTGATCATTGCAATGCCTCAGCAGGGTTTGATTCTTGTGATCAAAACTGGTTTTGATCAGTGATGTTGCAGATCGTGCGATGGCTCACACTGCAGCTGCTAGCTGGGTGAGCACAACAATGCACCAACCACTTGCCTTTCTATATTCCAGGGCTCCTTATGGCAAAACAGTTTGAATGACCTCATTGCCACTGCTGGAGAGCCCCCAAGAGTCCATGCGCATTCCCCTGCCATAGAGCATCTTACTCAACGTATCAAAATGGATGGCAGTCCTCTAGGTAAATGAGACCATATACACAAACATTATAATTCACCATTCCACTGATGAAATTTCATTCTGGATTATTTTTCAGTCATTTATCAAATGACAGTAAAGGAATTTTTTCGAACATCCCTGCCTACCATGCATGAACTGGATTAAACTAAAGCAGAAAATGAGCTCCAACTAGTCATGGGTATTCAGTATTCAACACCAGACTAAAATAAGAACTACAATAAAGCTAAAAATGCACGCTGTGTGGATGTCAGGTCCTTAGTACCAACTGTACCATTTTGCTTTACTGATCCACTCCTATTTTGCAATATCTGCTAATGTAAAGTGTAGCATATTACAAAACCACTTTTGGCAGTTATATCAATTTGACCAATTTCTTTAATTCCATATTGCGATTATATCAGAAAATACCAACTATTTCTACTTCTCTTGGAAAATTTTACCAGATCTAGGGGTTTATTATCATTTATTGCACAAAAAAATATGATCACCTTTTTCTATTACTTGTCATATTGCCTGTCTATATTAGAGTAGTCAAATTTTCCATATGGTCTTTTGGAGTCCCATGAACTCCTTTCAAGACCCCTGAAGCTTCCCATTTTCACTTTCACCAATCATTTTTTTTCAATAATTGCTAGACGTTTGTTCAAGACATATTGCTATACCAAGGAGAATCTGTCCTATGCTGAAAACAAACAGTTGCACAGAACGAGTGTTCAGTGTGATGAACAGCGTTTGGAGTGAAGAGAAGTGTTGGATGAGTACAGACACTATCAAAGCTGTTCTTTACTCAAAGTGAATATTAATGACAGTTGTTTCATGTTTCAAGTTAAAATCATACAGAACACACTGTTGCAAGGAAAACAGTTCTCAAACATATTTTTCAACTTACAAGCAATCGATAACTATCCAAATACATTATTTTATTTTTCATCAGGATGTTTGTGATCCTAAAAATTGTCCCCCAAAACCTCTCAGTTCTTGATTCTGAAACTATGACAAGCTTATTTATAGCAAAAGTATTTGAAATCTATATAGAAAATATTCTCATTTAAGTATATCCCCTACAAATTTTCCACATAAACACTACTTGTGCTCCTGACAGAATGTAAATAAAGTTCATAGCTGAGGTTTAGATTTCCTTATTAGATCTAGCACCACAGACTCCAAAACAAAGGGTAGTATTTTCTTTGCAATAACAACTCACAAATTTTGAGACTCCTGACAAATGGTCCTAATACAGTCAAATTTGATTTGATTTTTTTGAACTTCCCAATTCACAACACATTAAACTGAGTTCAAAAGGCACATGTAAAATGAGCTAAACAATCAGGGGACATCTCCTCTTAGTTTCTACTTATCCAGAGCAAATTCAGCTTCTAATAATTTTTTTCTATCACAACAAAAAGTCTGTCAAATGCTAAATTAGTTAAAACTATGTGAACACAGCTCAAAATAACTTGTACACTTTTTTAAAAAAAAATATGCTTTGTCTTTGGACAAGTTGATGCCAATCCAAGATATGCTGCTATTTGCCAGCAGACTTCTGCCTGTTAAGATATTCTGAAATAACGTATCTTAAAAAAAAAAAAACATAAACCACGAGGCTACAATGGTTTCATAAATATCTTCTCTTACGGGGAATCAGTGGAGTCAAAAAGAAATAACGTATCAAAAAAAAAAAAATAAACCACGAGGCTACAATGGTTTCATAAATATCTTCTCTTACGGGGAATCAGTGGAGTCAAAAAGAAAAAAAAAAAGCAAAGGAAAATAATGCAGAAAGACAGACTGCAAAGGTCACTTTGACAAATGTTTGCCAGTTGAAATGATGCGTAGTGCACTACGTCCAGTACAGCGCAAATGTAAAAATCTCAGATATGCCAAAAGATAAACTGAAATAAAATGTAAATCAGGTACCTGGAGAGCTCATTTCAATGGAGATGCTAACCAGAACGCTAAGCAACTTGTACATTCAGTTCAACAAACTTACCAAAACAAAGGACTGAATGGAGCCTGTTTCTGATCAGAACAGAAGTAAGGACATCAACCAGACTGACATCATTCTGTTTGCATATATCGAATGTACATCAAGACACTTTTTGACATAACAGCTCGTACTGCAAGCTGCTATGAGTTGACACGGACCAGTGTCCTCACCTTTAGACTAAGGGACAAATTAGATAACGCCTCCTGAAGCAATGTCAGGTAATGCCACTATGGAATAAACACAACTATCTGTTTTGTTGAAATTATCTGTTTTAACGAAACTAGTGCTGTGTGGAACTCTAGCGATTTTGAAAACGGCTACAGTCATTTCAATACAGTACGCAAACTGGCTTTCCATATCATATGAAAACTATAATGACTGCTAAACACAAATACTTGAGCTAAACATTACTTCATTTCTGCATGGGTTACTTTTCATCTCAATAACAATGGACGTCAGTGACACAGACAGCTAGTGTGTATAACGCTCACGGCCAGAAAGACTACCTGTAAGAGAACCACTTGAGTAGAAGGAAGACCGTGCCATACTGTATTTTAATGTTTCGTCCAGGAAAAGGCCTCATCTGGAATTAATAACTATCCTATCCATTTCCACCAAGGAATACCACATAGTTCCTTACCCAACAACAGAATGCACCGCCCTCCTCACCACCAAACGTCCATCCATGCACCCGCACACCCACTAGTTTTACAAACTTGATGCCTCAAGCAAGGATGATTTTCTCCTGTCAAATCTCAGTATTTATCTGAATCCATCAGACCACCAAACATCATATCCTCAAGACCTGATTTAGCCATTGTCACCTCAATGCATTTTATCAAATGGAATTACTATCAGTAGTTTGCAAGTATCATACAAAAGGAATCTGGACTGACAGATTAAATGAATCTCTAAGTTGTTTCTGATAAATGATTTTATCTGCCATCCTCATAAACCAGAAAGTATGAAAGTCAATAACACATTAATCTACTGAGTACCAGCAAAACACCAGAAATACAAATTCTGAAGTTCTGATGGGATGAAATGGGTTTTCATTTCTCCTAACTTCTCAGTGGAATTAAGATAAGCGTGTAATAAAGAGATGCATGTTTTACTCATATCTGGCTTCAGTGAGGAAATAAAAAGCTTCTGGCCTCAAGCACAGCAAAGTCTCTAGGTCAGTCCAGTGAAAAATGATGGAGTTTGAAAGGCACAGCCTCTTCAGTTTTTCACCACATTAAACCAGGTGAACTGTGTGTAAGTAGTTTCATTAATACAATCTGATTTTATACTAAATAAATTATAAAAGTGATACAAATAAGAAAATAGCTGACTTTGGGTAAGTATTTATTTTTCAGTACAACTCACCGTCAGGAGGTGGTAGTGTCTTCTAAATTGCCAATGTATCCTTAGCATAGAGTAAGATTTAAAACATTTTCTTTGAAATGTTTCAGACTGGGATAAAACATTCTATATTTCCCTTGCAAAGAATGAGACTGTGCTCTTATAAATTAAGGAAAAAAAGAAGTAAAGAAGCAGCCTTACTGGTTTGTATCTTAGTGCATCTCTGTAGGATCCAAACAGTGCTGCCTGTGCCCGAAGAAAGGCCTTGGCTACTCCGTCACCCGTAGCTGTAGACTGCTTTTTCAGTTTATTTTTCAAGGCCGAGACCTGCACGACAGAGTGGAACAGTTAAATTAACACCTCAGAAATTGGTACAGCGAGGTATGAACCCAATCAGCAGGCAAACCATGGTGTCTACAGGTCAGCCAAAAATTCATCCTCCTCCTTGATAGCTTATCTTTTTAACTGCAAAGAGCACCTGCTGGTCTGCTAATTGAAATGAAAGCAGGGGATGGTGGTAGAGTGCTAATGCAAATTGGTTTATGCTCTCTTTTTTTCCCAAGGCCTCTTGACATAAATAAGCTTAATTATTTTACAGTAAACTGCATGCAAGCCACTTTTCTGCAGATTTTTTTTTTCCAATAATAACATGCACCTACTTGTTTTGAATGAAGACAGTGGACATTTTTTATTTATGTTATGAAGGCTTATTTTTAAGGACTCTTAGTGGTCACTTACTATTCAGTTTTAGGGATTTTTTTTTTTAAGTCAAATTAGTATCTTACGTCATATCTCATGCACCATGGGAGTAGCTGCTACTACTGTCAAATAGTTGTGGAAGGTTTGTGTAAATTCAGTGATACATTGTCTTTAGAATTGTCCTAGAAGATAAAACATGTGAAAGGGGAAAAAAAAAAAAAAAAAAAACCCACAACTTACAAGGCACTTGTAGTTTTAAAAAAAATAAATCTTATTTAAGTGCTTCACTTGATTGTTTGTTTGTTTTAAGGCGGTCTGTCTTATTTTACTTGGCAAACAGCAATCACTGATTACACAGAATTGGAAAAAAATGAGAAATATTAATTTAGATGACCTTTACTTGGAAATATTTTGGAGAAAAATCATATAATTATGGAATTATTACAGTATTCTTTAAAGATATGTAGAATTACACCCTGTTATAGTCTATAGTCTAATTTTTGACATGAAGGATATCTGGAGAAGTCAGTCAACTCCAGCTATGTTGAATACATGTTTCTACATCCCTCTGTATTGCAATATACCAAATAAAGTAATACTTAAGTCACTATACAAAGTAACATTTAGAATAACTCTTTAAACAGAAGACTATAAACACAAACTATCACCAAAACAGCTTTCATTCTTTTAGAAATATATGCAAGAATGAGTATCTTTTTGTTTCTTTATGCAACCAGTCCTGACTGCTCTTGTAGATGATGATTGTAATTGAAGTGTCAACCTAATTAACAACTAAACTTTGAATAATGCTAATGAGAACTGAACATGGCATCAGAGAAAAGACCAGCTCTACAGGTGATAAACCTTCACAGTAGTGACATTTTCCAGTGTAAAGTCACAGTTACTGTGATCTGATCAAAGAGAGAGACCCCCATTGGGTCCAATTATAACTATAGTTTTGAAAAAAAAATTATTGAGTTATGATGTTCATAATCTATGCAGAAAGGCCTTTACAGTATAGGTCTTTTCCCCATAGCTGTGATCTTTTCAATTTATATCCAAGCTCCATAGATCTAGATAAAAGTTTAGAGCCTGATTCGTTTAGCCCATGGAAAGCATAGACCAAGGCTCATTTACATTTTTCCTTATACCTTAAAAGAAAAAGAAAAAAAAAAGTACAAGTCTGAGTACAAAAACCAGTTAAGCATTTCAAGGTTGAAAAAAACATATGCATGTCTTGGTTTTGGTTTGGTTTTTTGTTTTGGGGTTTTTTTTTTTGTTCTGTACTGTATGATTATTTTAAAGTTATTAAACATAAGGTATATTTAATTCCGGGGAAAATAAATGTGTATATCCTTTGTATAAGGGAAATCTGCCTATCAACGTTAGCTCAGTTTTACTAAAACAAAAGCAGTAACATGAGGTTAAAAAAAAGAACTGTCAACCTTAAAATGTTGTCTCTGTCATGACGGTCAAAACATCTTCTAAATATAAAGGAGGGAAAAGGTAGAAAATTCCCTACATTGTTTTAAATCTACATTTTTCTAAATTATACCTCGTGTGTTTGGGGAAATTATGGCAGATGGTGAGACAGATTAAGAGAAGAAAGGGGGTAGAAATGATGTAGAGCAGAGGAACTATAGGACAAAGTGGGGGATGTGAAATAAAATGGTATTTTCTGATTTTCTCAGTTCTGGCAGGCCCTATGTACCTTAACATACATTGATAAAAAGGATACTTTAGGCAAAAACATGTTAAAAAGAACAATAGAAAGCAACAAATCTCCCGCTTCATTGCAGCATTGATATGTTATTAGTGCAACAATATTAAGAACATCCCAGTGGGCTGGCAGTTGGAAAGCGGGTTCTCCAGCACAAAAGTATGTCAGATGCACATTTTATGCTGCCATCCTGGAGGGAATTCTAGCCTCAAAAAGGCTAGGCTGGAGTTCAAAGAAAGTTTCTCCAACTTCTGCTGCTCTCAGGAGGCAATGCTAAAAGGCAGGAAGAGCTCTATTAGATTTTTCTGCAGAAGTACTAGTAGCACAGTGCTCTTAAGAAAAAGCCTGCAGAGATAGTGTGGGCCACAAACCTGATTTCCCAATCGTCACAACTAGAGTCCTGGCTAAAGCACTCCTGAAGCACCCTTGAGATCTGCCTAGGTTTCCTTCAAGCTGAGGTCAGCAAACATGCATGCAGAAGGACAGTGCTTTCTCAGGGCTTATCCCACCACCGAGTGACAGCAAATCCAAGCTGTGCATTTGGGTAGGTTGCCAGCAAGTTCTCCCAGTTCCACAGTTTAATCAAAGATAGAGCGATAAAGTAGTTACTACAGTCAATACAGTAGGTACAGATAAGAGACTGGGTGCTTTGAACTACTTAGAAGGACTTGGTGCACAGCAGGATTGGGATTGCTTAAATCCATGAACCTATAACCAAGGAAGTGTGAGACCCCTTTGGGTGACAACATTAATAGCTTTTAAAATTTAAAACAAAATACACAGTTCTGGGAGCAAGAAAAAAAAATACCAAGCAGCATCTTTATCAAAATCTTTTACTCAGACATGCTTTAATCCATCTACAATTAAGACTGCCAAACTTTTTTTTCCCCTTCTTTGCATGTCTTCAGCAGAAATAGCCTTTTACAAAGTTTAAAAATAAAGAACTGCAAACAAACAAACCACAGGGGTTAGAACACTGTTAAAATTTATTTCTGGAAGACACCAGTGATGCTTTTCAGAAACAGTATTATTAATTTACACTAGAAGCAAACTGGTTTTATCTTCACCTAGCAACAGCTTCTCATAGGAAGGTGACTTCACTGAACTGCTAAACACTACCAATGAAGAGCAATCACAGCTTCAGGAAGGTTTAAATCAATAAAATAGTTTTTCAGAGATTTAGAAAGTCACAAGATTGATATGCGATTTTTCTTTCATTTGTAAGTAAGAATATCTAAAATGTAGAAACATATTGTGTTGGTCATTAAAAAAAAGCCTTATTTTTTAAAATAGTCACTCTGTCCTTTCTAAGATTCCTAAAATATAACTATCCGATCAAAACCAAAGCATGACTAATATCTTTTCAATATCCATGCGAACAGAAGAATAGAACTGCACATAGAGTTAAAAAATAAAGTAATAAAATCATATAACTATTAATCAAAGCCTTTGCTCCTGCAAAAACTTAAGCATGCATATAAATTTAAGCACATATAGAAGTATTCAAAACGTTTGTCGCCTGAGAAATGCAGAACCATGCACTGGGGTTCCCAGTGACTAGAGATCTCTGAAAAAAAAGATATCCAGGTCTTTCTCTGGTATCAGTGACAGTTGTTATGCTTTAAACTGTTTTTTGATGTTCCCCATCAGATCATGTCTCTATAAAACTAAGCCCACTCTCAGCAGTGAGAAAGTGAGAGAAGATGGCAGAGAAAACAAAACAAAAACCTTACAACAAAATGGAATCTGATAGGATTTTCAGTATTGTTAATGAAAGGGCTCCTACATATTTGATATTATCTACACACATAGGATTTAGGCATCTCAGATAGCACTCCAGCATTTCATCACAAATACTCGTTTAGACGAAAACAACTACTTAAATGCAAATGTTTTCAAAACTAGTTGTACTTCTCAATCTCATGTTGTAGCTTCTAAAACTATGTCGAGGTTCAACAGAATCTTAACTCTAGGAATTTAGTCAAAATAAATAGTTGCCTCATAACACTGCAAAAAAATATTTTTGGCTATTTTCCGATGGGAAAACATAATCAATTATGATATTTAAATTTTCTAAAAAATCTTTTTAGTTGCGCTGTTACATGTTGATCGTTACTTCTATACAATGCCATTAATCATATTTTCAGAAATAATTTACACTCCCAGTAATGGTTTTATAAAGTAACTGTTTAATTTTCTACGTGACTTACAGCCTACTTCTCAAATCCTACTTTTAGAACAGTAATGTTCATACGCTCAATTTATGGTGTTAAAATCCTGTGACTTTAGGAATCCCAAAACTAAAACTCCAAATACCCGTTTAGATTCCGTACCGCATCGTAGTGTGTAGGCAGCACACGCTGCAAAGGCTACACATCTTTCAACAGCTCTGTAGATTTTACAGTTAACAATATTTAACAACCACAGAAGATGCTAAAAAGCTATGAAGCCTATTGTTTTCTGAAGATCATATTTTAAAAAGTTCTGCTTAATTTATGAAGAAGTTGGTAAGACTTGGTTGCTAAACACAACACCCTCAATTCTCCAAGTTGTTTTTGAAAGTCTTCAAATTTGAGCAAAGGACTAGTCTTTTTGTCAGAGTTAACTGCAAGCAGGTATTGCAGGATCAGGCCCAAAGTTCATAAATTTGTGTCTACAGTCTCCGCTAATTTATATACACCACAAATGTTCTTTGTCTACCGTCTTACATTATTAAAGTGGTGATCTAAGTATTATTGTATTAGGAAATTTACTCCCACAGGAGTAGCTATTTATTTTCTTTTTTTTTTTAATTAAAAAATAATAGACAAATTCACAGTGAAATGATGAAATTTAAAAACAAGTGTTCTCGTCAGAAGAGAGGAAAAAGAGGGGGTTTTCCCCCTCTAAGAAAACAAAGGATTCCTCAAAGTCTTGCAATGATTTATTTTTCCAATTTTAAATACCTTAGGAGTAGCGGAACTGCTACTGGCATGGTAGTATTTCTAACAGTCAATAAATCTAAAATATTATGTGTGAATATTGGAATGAAGCCATTAAGAAGATTACAGCACGCAACGCAGCAGAGGGTCCACATGAAAAAAGGACTGGTAATTCAGGACAACTGTGACCACTGACCTTTGCACAGTCAAGACCACTGGTCACTCTGACAGAATAATAGAGTTCACATGCATAGAAAGTCATCTAGCCTGTAACTATAATTTAAATGCTTAAGTGAATGATTTAAAAATGCCTTTAAATCTCAGTTAATTTATTATACAGTTTATTAGACAATGCCATATAATAATGTTTTTCAATCTTAAATTTATCATGGAAAAATGCACCATCAGGGCATTTTAATAGACATATTACTTATACATGGGTGAACTATTAAATATCTACAGATACTTAATATACAGATTAATATATACAGATTAAATATCTACAGAACATCATCAGGCTTATTGATCACGAAAATAATTACTCAATTTCCTTCGGACAAAGAAACAGTTTTAGAAAACTCTTTCAAAATATTGCATTCTTTTGTTAGGCTGTTAATCAGCCTGGAATCAATTTTTGAAAGGGATAGTAAGACTAGAGCTTCTTTTATATTTTCAGTTCTTCATTCTATTTTAACACTCCTCAGAGGTACTCATTATATTTTTTCATCGGAAGTTTTACTACCTTTGTATGTATGCTTATGAAGTTTATTTATATAGGTTAAAATGCTTCACATATGTATCTTTGACATTTGCTTTAATGTTTTAAGTCTAACTTACCATTTAACTCTACACTCCTATGTTTTATACTTTTTAACTGAGACATTAGCAGTTGCGCTGCCTCTCATGAATACTAAAGAAGGACAAACATTTTGTCATTTTATGAGTCAAACACGGACATTGTCTGTGCCTTTTGTTTCCAGGTTTTCCAACTATAAACGTATATGTTTTCCATTAAATTCTTTGAATTAAAGTGCTTTGCAGATTAAAGTAGAGGAAGAGATGGGAATATTCAAATTAAAAGCCTCATTATAAAATCCTCAAATTCTGCAAGTATATTTTGCATAAAACATAGCTGTTCTGTTTTGTTCTGTATTAGTTACAGAATGAAATATTTTAAGTCTACTGTATAGTCTGTACACTTGGATAACCTTCATTAACATTAATAATAGTAACATGCATATATCCTGGGGGAGAATATACTTCTAAAAGTATGAAGATCTGTATCCCTATTTTCTTCATGCTAGCCTACTCATTTAGAGATCACTTTGATATGCATCTGTAAAACACATGAGAAGTCCCTCTCATTGTACAAATATCCATTTTTACTGTTCGAAGGACCTCCAGCTACAACTCCCGTATCTTATGGAAGAAGATGCCTAATTCTCAATTCTATATCTAGCTATTATTTGACAAGAGGCATGTACCTCCATGACATTATAACCTCAACCTTACTCACTGTATGCAAGGTCAGTTAAAATTACTGATGCACCAGAAAATTACTCTTTTTCCTTAACTTGTTATACTCTTGAATTATAGAGTACAGTCAAAATTACTGTATATATATGTATGTGTTTGTGTGTGTATACTTTTTCATACACTAACGTAAAATCACAAAACATCAGAATAATTTTTATATAGTTTTTTTACATTTCTGAACTATAGTTGATACTGAGTCAAAAGAAAGACCGACCAGATGATCTATAAAAAGTCTAGATTTTAACATCATTAAAATCAAAGGGAACTGACATTAATATAATGATCAAGAGTTTGACTTCCATTGTATAAAATATATACGAATTACTAACAAAACCAAAAGATGTAGTATGTCACTACAACGCCTTACTTTGATTAAGAGAGTTTATTTTTATGATTTACAATTTCAGGAAATGTAGCTCTTTGATTTCAGATTTTGATATAAAATTCTTTGTGCTGACAACCCTTTGTGATAGCTTGAGTATCTACAACTAAATAATCAAAACAGTGGTTTCACAATTATATCCTTTTAGAGCTCTATTGGGAAAAACAAGGTAAGTGAATTTTGTGACTATTTAAAATGATATACAGAATATGTTCCCCTACAGGCAATAGGAAAAAAAAAAGGGGGGGGGACGGGGGGACACCCCCTCTGCAAGATCAAAGTCCAGAAAGAACTGGCACTTAATTTATCATCCTTTACAGACAAAAGACAGTTTTCGTCATTTCAAAAGGATCAGATGTCTTTCATGACAAACTGGGTTTGCAGTTTAATTTACAAATAGAATTCTAAGTAAGCAGTCTTTGCTCTGCCAAAACAAATGACAAACAGTATAGGTTCTTATTCACGCAGCCCTCAGCAGGATAGAAGAGATTAAAATAAAACTGAAATAATTTAGAGAAAACAAATAAATGTTTCAGAAAGTTGAAGAAGATCAAAGCCTGAATTTTCTGACCCCAACTGTACAAGCATTTCTTATTATATTGACCAGTGCCATCAGATCATTAATTAAAAGGAAAGCGCTGGCAGGTGGCAGGGAAGCAGAAGCCGATAATTGGCCCCCTTCTTCTTTTTGCCTTCAAAAACTCTCTCGTTCTTTTGCAAGACATGCCACTAGGCAGACAGAAATGCCTACTTTGTAATATAATGATTAAGATGAGATGAAGAGACTCTTGCGTTTAAAGCAGCTATGCCTAATGAATGCAGCTAGCTTTATAATTATGATCCTACTTTTACAATAAGGAATATGATGTTCCATTCAACATCTCCTCAACTGTCAAAAAGGTAAAAATCTCAAATATAGGGGTCTGCACTTGGTGCTTTTCACCCCCTTATTTCTTTTTTATAGCAGTTAGCAAAACCAGGCAAAAAAACTACTAGTAATTCAAGCATCTATAAAAAGAAAGAAATAATGAAATATCTGTAATACTCACCACTTCACCAGGTAGGTTGTTCAGGTCATTAAAAGGGGTTTCTAGAGTGTTTGTGTCAACATTTAGCAAAACCACATCCTCCAGTGATCTATTCTTTACTCTCTGTTGAGAGGGAAAAAAAAATAGTGGCTAAGCATTTTACTATGGCATCCTTCTGAAGTATGTTTTTATTATAACCTGCTAGATTAGAAACAATGATTTTATAACAGATGATAATGGCAAAGACAAAATTTTGAGCTTTAAATCTAGGATTTGTGAATTAGACACAGGATTCAGAGCAGCTTTTAACAGCACTTCCTCTTCATCAAACAGTAAGGTTATATTAATAATCTCTGAAATACAAGCATATTCAAGAAATCATTTCTTGAAAAATAAAATTTACACAATGCATAGGTAAATATATTGGAACTATACATACCTTACAACAACATTTCATTCTCCCATATTTGTGAGAGAGGATGTTAATCATATAATCAGATGAAAAACAGAGTAAACTAAATAATTATTTGCAGATTTATGTAAGTCCCAGGCATGTGATATCTACTGGTATTGTAGAAGAATGGATGAAACAATCTTTCATCAATGGACTTGACTAGAAGTTAAGTATTAAACAATTTGTTCCTTTCAGGAAAAAAGGATAGAACTCTTTTCCATATGGTCCTACAATAATACATAATGGTGCAGTCCAGGAAATAATTCCAGAAGGAATTGAGTGACTTCTTTTTCAGACCAAGTCTTTCTGTTCCATTATTTTCTGACGGAATAAGGAACAAGATCCTAGTCAAGATACTACGATCAGTGCATGCAGATCGTAAGAACTTGATTTGAGAGAACAGAAGGCTATGCCTAGAGTTTAGAAGTGTACTTGATGAAGGCTCTTTTTTGGAAACACAAAAGTGCTAGTGGCTCAGACTGGGGGAGAACTCACCTCATCAGCTTCACAAATGTGAACTGATCCTTAGAAACTGCTTCAGCAGAAGGGTAAATCAAATAAAGTTCCCAAATCAATTATCTACTCTGCATGACAATCAGACTACACATGTAGGCTTAATGGTATCATCAAATGGTTATGGAAAGAGGCAAAGCTATTTATGACCCAGCCATTACTTACCACTTAGGTGAGTTCTATTGTTTTGTTGTATGTTTAAATCTACCTCTTGTTTTCTGGCAATACTCATTTCTAAATTAATAGTTATGAATGCTGTGGGATGAATGTTAGACTCAGATTTTTGGAGGGACAGGAATGTAAATTATCTGGGCAATCAGAATGATGCTGAATTCTGATCGATGGTGGCTCCAAAATAAATGTTAACTGTTCTTATTATTGTGAAAATCTGTTGCTGAACCACTAAAAAAGGCAGGAAAAAAAAAGCTATTATTGAACTATTAAACAGACACAGAAACAAATTATGATGTAGCGCTTACATGTCTCCATAAAACACTTCAAAAACTAAGATTTCAGAGGGACATTTTTTACTTTGTAAACCATCTGAAGCTTAAATTTTCTAAGTCTGTATGCTAACAAACAGGGATTCTTTCTGAAGCATTGCCACTAGAATTATCATTAATGGCACACACCCCTCATGCTTACCAGTATGCAGAAGCATAAACTTACCTCTATTAAGCTTAAGTGGACGCCAATTAGATAAGGCATTGGTGCACTGAAGAAAAAAAATGGAAAAGACCAAATTATTGTTTTAAGTACTAACTACCACAACATTTGTGGAGGAAAAATATTTAAAATCTTGGCACATACAGTCCCTAGTTAACACTTGCTGTTTAAGCCTGTATTAAGTGTACACAGTTGCTACTGAAATTTTTACTAGACAAGGGAATTTTTTTTTTTTTTTTTTTTTTCACTCTGCAGTAAAGATGACCACAAAAAAAAAGGTGCAAGGTGCTGTTCCAACTACGGAAGTATGAGCGAGAAGACATGTAAGGCTTGCTAACTGGCTTGTTGTACCTAGTTTCAATAACCAACCATACTGTATGGCAGAGCTAACTTAGAGGATCTTCCAAAAGTGGTCTGTCCTTAGAACTACAATGGTTTTAAACACCATTCTGGAGAATATGGTACCAGTTAGCATTACTCCACTGCAATGCAAACATCATTAACACCAGTTTTGGTTCTGAATGTGCTTCTGAAACCCTCCCTTGGTGGGTGTTTGGAAGCTGTATAATATTCTGTTTAACTCAAGACAGTAAACTTCTCATTTCCAATTTGGATAAGACAAGGAACTGTATTCTTAAAATAAAAAAATATCCACACAAAGCCTCTGGAGCGAGACCACCTGCAGTACGCATGCCAGAAACTGAATTAGTCAGGCTAATTTATCATGGTTTCCTATTATCTTCTGTTTCCTCCTCTGGTCAATGTGTTCTGGCAACATCTGACAAAGAATATACTCAGTATCCAGCGCTGAAGGGAAGAAACATCATCCCATCTTATGGGTACTGCAAGATTACTAAAAATACTCACTCCAGAGAAACGAGCGATAGGCTGGTTTACACAACTCAGTCCAAAATGAAATACTAAGGTAGCAGAGCGAAAAACAAAATAAAAATAATCTCTGAACAATAAATGGAAGGTAAGATGACTTATACAAAGTTACACAGATAACTGACATACAATAATTTCTCCCATTGTATTAATTCAATTACAGATCAGAGCCACTGGCACTGACCGATTGGCGACTGACTTCCTGAGGCCCAGGGAGAGCCTTCACTGCATCAGTTCACGTGGCCACATCAATTTGATCCCAACTCTGGGAGCAAAAGCAGCAATTCTCACCTGCCTGCGACTGCAGCAAGTTTAGAAAAACTTGCACACACTATGGATTAGCCAATTGCTCTCACTAACAATGTCCCACAGGAGAGGATCAATGCGAAAAAAACAACCAAACAAAAAAACCCAACCCACCAAACCAAACAAAACCCCACCTAAAACCCAGACTGAGGCCAAAACAAGCTTTCATCATGCTTACACTATCGAAATAAATGTTTGCTGAGACTGCAAACTGTCAGGGCTTAAGGTTTCTAGGCAATGGGTCTTCCAAAAGGGGAAACAGAGACCCTTATGTCCCCACACATCTTTTTCTTATTCCCAATATTGAAAAATTTTAGTACCTCCTGACAACTTCCTCCAGGCTAAGGCCTTATGCCTTTGCGGACTCAACACCAGTTACATGGAATCATAAATGGGTGTCCCTCCAGAGCAGAAAAGCATTTCTATTCGGTGAGGAATCAGACAGCTTTAAAATACTCTATAATTTTAAGAACGCTTCATACTACAAAACATATTTAACCAAGCCAATGAGGATGACTATGACTGACATTTAACTGAGGATTCTTCTGCTGAATATGTGGCAAAATAGGTCCTCAGGTTCATCGCATCAGAGTTATCTTAGCGTTACAAATAATGTGAACTGGAGAAACTACGGTGAAAACAAGTGCTGTATCATGTATGCAATTTATGCACACTTGTTTTCTTGTACACCGACACTGTTCTGGCAGCTGACTAAAAATAGCTGATGATTTGCTCCATTAATAAATCTGTCATTAAAAAGGGTAGTGTGTAGCTTTTTTCTATAGAACAAAGCAACGGCTACATCATTTCAATTTTCAGAAGTTAACAGAATAAAGGTACAAAGCTAATTAGATAAACACATCTTGAAAATGCATGAAATAAAAATTGCAGGTATAGAAAGTCAATTTGATCATTTTCAGCAAAGAATGAATTTTATTACTGCTGGATTCTGAAGCTTTAACAGCAGAGGTTTGTAACATGTACATGAAATTGCTCACTATGATACTATTGGGAGCTGCTATATAGTTTTTCTCTTGCTTATGCATGTTATTACCAAAAATGTTATTAATCTACAGCATCATTGCCTAAAATAATTACTATGTTATGCAAAACATGGAAGTTAATTGGAAAATAATCGTCCCATTCTCACAAAAACAGGCGTGCGTATGTCCCAATTCAGAAGAGACCAAATCTCATAAAAAGACATGTTGCAATTGTAACTTGACTTTTCTAATTGCATTATATTCTTAGCAGAGCATCGGTAGAACAGATGCTTTATCATCCACAGACAAAACTGTCATACATTCTTTTTTCAGTGACTTAGTTTGCCAAGAAATTATACAGAAATTTGATGAAATTAGCTTTCTCCTTTACAAAAATTAATTTTGTTCAAATATAATTACTGTATCAATGCTCAAACTTAATTGTAAAAGCTTTTTTGAAAGCCAACCACCCACTGGGCTGAGCTCAACAATATCTTTTTGCTTACTTAAATGTAGAAAACAAGTAGAGTCTTAAAAATATTCAGAAAATTCAATTTTTAGTACAGCTGAAGTTTTGAAGATAGTGGATTTGAAGCGTGCATTTCTCTCAAAGTATGTTGGATGATTAACATGCAAAGAAAAGTTGCAGGATCAGGGCCTATATTCAAACTAGTAGATTTAAAGGTATTTTATCTTTGTTTAAAAATGGTCTTACTCCCTTGGAACGAACAAAATTATCAAACTGACAATCTCCTACTTCATTTATTTGAATACCATTTCAGAACAACACTAAGAAAATGAGAGTTCATGGGAGACATCCCAACAAAGTCCAAGTGAAGGAATAATAATGTGGTTTCTAGGTATGAAAATGCATGTGAAGCTAAAAGAAAAACAGGCAGTTTTAATAAAAGAATTTTGCTCTAACAACATGAAAATATAAAAAAAGAATTAGAAAATTATTTTATTAATAATTTGCTCAGTCTGGCCTAGCACAAACTTTGACCTTATGAATTCATCAAGGTTTTTTAACTTGATATATTATATACCTATGAGGAAAATATTTATTCACTGTTAATATGCCAAAACATGAGGAAAGCTAAATATTTTATGTGTTTTTATTACACTATTCCAACCTGTCTCACAAAAGAACCATTCAAGCCAGGCATGAGCAGACAAAGAATGTAAATGAACGAAAATCTGAGTTAAAAGGTCTGAATCATAGTTACTGTGGTAAATTGATCAATCATGCTTTTCCTTTCATGAACTTTGTGTTTCCATTTGAACATCTCTAAAAGAGGGAAACTTTTTTTCCCCCCACTCTATTGTGCTACTGTGAAAAAGAAAAAAAGGATATAAATGAGTTTTACAAGTTTAAGGAACTCCATGGTTCTTTTTAATGAGTAAAAAAAATTCTCAGGTCACGCCATAATGACCTAGAATCTCCACTATTATCATCATCACAAGCAGCTGTGTACAGCATCTAACATTATTATTTCTGGAAACATTATCTGTGCTTAGGAGGGGAAATAAAAAAAATCTTCTAGTATTCAGGATGCACTCTGCAGGGTACAGCTTGAAGAAAGGTGTTGATCTACCTCCTGAGCACAGCATTTATGGATACTGAAGAAATTACAAAGCTTCTGGCAGTAAGCTGAAGTAATACAAAAACTAAACAAATACATCCAAGCTCTACCTCCATCTTGGTGCATTTTATCAAAGCTAGCAAGAAAAACAATTAGGACAGAGTTTCTTCAAAAGAAAACTATCATTAAAGATGAAAGGCTTAGCTATAGTTGAAAGTAAAGGGAGGAGTGGGAAAAGAATATTTGATTTCTTTTTAAAAACAATAAATCATATACATATGAAGTATAGGAATTATCACAGAAAAAGATATACCATTGGCAAATATTGTAAACTTGAGGAAACACTATGAAAGAGACTTAAGGAAACTTAATGAGAATTTCTTTGAAAACAAGAAGTTCAATAGACTGGGTGGAGTTCAATGGAATATCAATATTTATAGGTTCCAGAGAAGAAAAAAAAAAAAAAACCAAACACCCGAAACACAAAGTCCAGCAAACATACAAGCATAATTTATTTCTGTGAAGAAAAACATTAGTAACACACAGACTTATGTTGGTAGGCATCTGACTTGGACTCAGTTTTTATATATAATAACAATTCCTGATCTCTAAAATGGCTTTAAACAGTTCATTTTTCCACCACAGATCCATAGGATCTAGTTAAAGTGAAAGTCTCCAGGGATGGATACTCCTGGTTTAGGTGCTTTAAGGGAAACTCTCATTTGGTATCTCTGGCACTACCACGAATAAAAGAAAGCAGATCTCTTCTTAGCCTGAAATCTTAAAACACGGGCATGTGGAAACATCATCCCTTGAAGGATCAGAAGTAACTCAAAAAGTGATTCTTTCTTGTTCGACTTAAAAATTTGCCAAAGCCATGAAGTCTGTCATGTGAACAGAAACACGTGAGGAGAAGAATTCTTATAATGAAAATTTTGGCAGTACCAAAAGGAGATTTTTAAGCTCTTTTGGGAAGGTGTTGTGTTGGATAGGATCGTGAACCTGTCTGACTAAAATATAAATATTAAATCATTGTATAGACCCAAGGGAAACATTGATGCCTACTAATGTTTGATTCCAGAAGAACTGATCATTTTTTTTTCTGAATGCTTCTATCAGTATCATTTATCTCAAGTTAAAATAAATGCCAAATAAAAGAAAAACGTAACACAGCCACATTTAAGTACTGAATGCATTTTCTAACAATAAAACAGGAACAGTTATAAACATGATTCTAAATGCTGCATTGATAGTAATCAGCACTGCAATTCAAGGTACCAATTCAAACATGACGTAAAGGCATGCTGAAATATCTCTATTCAAGTCGTCACTTAAGCATTGACGTAAGTGCTTTCATAAACCGGATCCTGTGTATTTAGTCACATAAGTAATTAATGTTTCCAACAGTTACTTAGAATTACAAGACAGGTAAGAATCTCAGAAATGGGGATAACAGGTTAGCTGTCTTACCAGCAGTAGTCCAGAAGATGTGGAGGAAGCACTGGGATGTAAATGTGTTGCCAATACATTGGATATAACAATGCAGCTGACGCATGAACACAAGCAGTTAACTAAAAATAAAAATACACACACAGAATTGGCAACAAAAAATATGACTAAAAAGAAAATACAAAATCTTAAATTAACTTTTAGACAGGCAAGAATCTTAACCTCCACAAAACACCTATTAGAGCGTTTTTTAATTACTTGTAATTGCTTAACACATCCATGAAGAACTCTGATATACAAGTACATCATTTGCAAGAAGTCAGACTAACAAGTCCATTCAAAGCCCTGCTGAGTTATTTCCTTGAAAAAAAGAAAATAAACATGCACTACTTGATGTTTATCAAACATGGGTACTGCCATGAAGACACAGAACTCAAGTGCACCCCTGCCGCACTCAGCTCTGCTGAGCGGGAAAGACTCGGGAGTTTTTTGGTCCACATTTCTGCTATTTGGAACAATTGGAACTGATCTGAACATGCATGAAGCCACAGAAGAGCGTTAAACCCAGAAGCAGGATTAATTTCTGTTTGTGTCACTATCTTGATTTCCAAACTACCTTTAAAAAAGTCTGAAATGAATATTCCCTGTGACAGCAAAGCAACTTTATTACAATTTTCCAAAACTCCTTTCCCAAAGCAGAGACTGGCAAGTCTGGCACTGGCATCACCAGAAAATGATGGACTCCTTGACCAAGAAAGGAGGTGTTACAATCTGCTTACCATTCAAAGCCTGTTCTTCTAAAACAAACAAGCAACCGAGAAAACACCACAAGAAAACCACCCACTCCCCACAAAAATAATCTATGAAATTGATTAGAAATGTCGTCTAGTTCACTCCTTGAATGAATAAAACAAAATGCAATACCTAAAAAATTCAAATTTGTTCTATCAAATACCGCTTTGCTATCAGGGAGTCACTCAAATTTATTTTATTATGCAGCCACAGAGTTACAACAGAATGAGAAAATATCAAGACTGTGTTCAAAATTAAGTAGCCTATATCCAGCAAATAAAACATTACAAACCTCATAAAATAAAGAAAAACAAATTCACAACAAGGTAATGCCCAACATAGAGACACTAAGCTTATGGAAAAAGACAAGACTGTCCTAATGTTTTATATCACAACAAAATTACTATCTGAGGTTAACTTGATAATAGTGCTGTTTATTAGACATGTACTTTTACAGTAACAAAATGAAGAGCTAAAAATAAACTGTAAATCCTGTCCATAGAGCAAGTGCTAAAACGTTATGGATTTTACAGGGGAAAAAACCCTCTTTGTGGAACAGATCAACAGTTAATGCTTTCATACCCTGGCTGTCTTGGATATTTAGACTTGTAAATAAAAATTATACTGCAATTTTGTACATGCATTTTTACACTAAAAATGAAAAAAATAATGATAAGACCATGGCAGCAGAAATCACGGACAATTACAATTTGTGCAGCATAGTTTGCTCAGCACTCAGATTAATATAACACGATTAAATATGGAAAAGAAGAGGGTCTGAAAGCTCCTGAGGGATATCATTAGGGCAAATTGCCAAAGAATGAAACATGAGCCAGTCAGGAGAGTCTGGAAGCTGCAGTAGTACCAAGGGACTTGAATATTCGACAGTTGGAGCTTCAGTAATGTGTGAACTGCAGGTTAAGGTATCAGGAGACTCTGTTCGCTGACACACAGAATGTCACTATTGACCAGCGAACTGCCCGAGCCTGACAGCTACGCCACAGAAAGCCAAGTATATCATAATTCCATATTTAAACTCTTCATTTCAGATTAACATCTTGTTTCTTAGCTTTACATCAAACCTCTGCAACTGCTCTCATTTTAGACTTATAATAATGGCTATTTTAATAATGACTGTGTTGGTACTAAGAATTAATTGATTTGGGGGAAGAAATAAATGAGTATCTTATCCCTCTTTTACACAGTGGGATTTATGGGTTTTATTTCCATATTATCTCTCTCTCTAGAAACACTAGTAACACTACTGATAGCATAGTCGAGTATCACATTTTTTGCTATGTTACTCAAAATGAATATGGAATTAGTATGTCCACAGACTATTTATTGTATGTAGTATAGAAATTTCAAACTGCAACTACCTATATAAAAATTAGCATTTCATATATTTCAATTACAGACCGAAATAAAGCTGAGCATTCAGTTATACAGGATATCCCCCAATGTATACAGCCTCCTCTTCCCCCTCTTAATAGGCATCCTTAAATTATGAAATAAGATGACTATACTATTTGCATGAAGAAATATTTTCCTCTCTTATGCCTATGTCCGGGTTACATTTTAGTTCTCACTTTAACAGAGGAAGTGGATAATTCCTTAAAAACATTTGAAGTTTTATTAACTCTCTTGCTTTACAATCTATATTTTGGTGTGGCACTCAGATCGGCATCTATTTAACATTTGTAATTAATAAAACTACTAAATTTTAGCATTTCTAGCAGGAAAGGTAAAGATTTGATTACTTACGCATCAAGGTTTTGCTGTACTGTTCCTTGCTTTTCTATTTAATGACATCTTAATGTAACATCTTATTTAAACATTTCCATCTACGCTGCTGCAGTAGGTTTCCAAACATTTTAGTATGGCACAAACATGTTTTATAATTTCCTGTTGTATACAGCCTGTAATACAAGCAGCTATGGGATTCTGCTGCTCTTCAAACTGTGTGACATTTTAATACTGTGCCAACTCTGCCTTTAAGCTAATACCGATAATTATGGATTTCATATTAAAAATTGCACACTTTCTGGCAAATTCTTTTTGCCTTTTTTACTGTTTAACAGTGACTGCATTTCCCAAATGCTTTAGCTATTTAAATAACTTACCTCTTTAACTTTTGACATATTCACCCTTCTAAATAGAATGGGGACTACTGCAAACCTTGCAATAACGCTGTTTGTCTTAAGTAAGCAGACAGTTCAAGAGATGTGCAAAGCATTTGGGGACCAGGCAGAGCCCGACTGCTTACATCAGAACACTGAGGTCTATACAGGCAACACTGGATTTGGAGGGGTGTCTGACAGCATCTGCGCTTGGGAGCGGAGCCAGGCACAGCCCTGGCAGGCACCCTGCCGAACGCTAAAGGAGACCGTAAGCTCCTGGGTGCAGAAATGAGCATCTGTTGCTTGACCAAGCGGTGAGATCTTTTGCGGAAAACAATTCTTCATACTATTTAGGGAAAAAGGCATTTGTATGGAGCCTGTCGGTTGATTGCTATCTATTCCAAAAGGAATTATCAAGATCTACCTTTTTTAAAAAAACTGCGAGATGTGTCATAGATCAAAAAATCTCTTTTTCAAGTCAGGTAGTCATTATCCTAAATTATCTTGAAGTCATCTTCAAGGCTGTGTACAACCTTACCTATTTTGCCAGTGACAACTGGAGATTACATCAACTGCAAACTGTGATCCCCTTTACAGATTAGGTTGTATATATAAGGTGAAAGCATCTGTCTAATAAAATTTGCTATATATTTACATATACACACAAATATATCATTGTTCAACTTTGCAGTTTGCTAAAAAAGTCTTAAATTATAGAAGAACAGTGCTGCAGAATCTAGTTACTGCAAATCTGATAGTTTATTACATGTTTTGAGGCAACAAATGATGAGACATTCTCCTATAGTGCACTGCACTGGAAAAGACCTACCAGCTTTGTGTTTCCATCCATAGTAAAATGGGCACGTAGTTTTTAAGTAAAGTTTTTGTCTGTTGAAACCCATTTGTCAATGTTGAACAGAACTTTTAATATTTCTGCTTCCAACAATTTTGAATTTTTTAGACTGTTTTTCTCCATTTCAAAGAATGTCTTCTAATTTAAACAACTTTTATTTCAAATATAAATATAATTATGGTTTTAAAACTGGTTTGAATAATGTGGTTTTAAATTACATAAACAACAGGAGTCAATTGACTTGAACTAGCTAAAAAAACATTTTTAAACAGAAAAATGTCAATATTCAACCCTTTAAACAGACAAATTTAATTTGAAATCCCTAGCATTTGCATTGGACATGAAAAGAAGTTTCCTGTCCCATTCTATCAGTAATGAATTTCCTAACGTTACTGAGCACAACTGATAGTTTCAGTCTGTTTCTGACCTCTTCCAATAAGACACTGCAGCCAGCAAGGAAAGTATGTGGTGTTTTCTCCAGAGTTTTGTAGTGATTCTGGTACAAGAATTTTATATTTGTCTCCTGAAAAAAAAATAAAAATGCTGGAACTATGTGGCTGGTGATAACCCAGTCTCTCCAAATAGTGGGAGACCATGTTATAAAGTTAGTGAGCAAAATTCGTTATTGGCGACAGGAAATTGATTACTACCAAATCCCTGCAAGACTGAAATAAGGCACAAATTCTAAAGAACGATGAATTACTTTCTACCTTATGGCGATCAGCAGCCACTTGGGAAGGCTGTTGTTCAAAAATCTACGCACTGCTGAACAGGAACACTCAGGAAGTTTTAGTTCAAGACTTGATCAAAGCAGGTTTACCTGCTCCTGGGAACATGAAGAGTGCAGCTCCTCCCTACTCTTCCCATGGATGCAGTAATTCTGATGGGTGTATCTGCTACCCTGACGCTCACTTCCATCAATGAACCTTTCTACTCTGGATTTCAAAGGGACTGGCCCCCCCTTTTTTTATTTTTCTTTTTTTTTCTAATTTTAGTTTTTGCTAAAACACTGCAACATGTCTAGAGCCACACTACTTCAGCTAGAAGATTTTCTGCAAACTCACATATCATGCTTATTTGATAGCTATTATTCACATCACTTCAATGAGTAACATGAAAATAAGTATTCTGTATCCTGCACAAAACTTACCTGGCAGTTACTTTCTAGCTATATAAATTATTTTCTTCAAAGCCTTTCCTATAACCAAAGGTAGAGAGGCAGAGCATAGGTGGCTAGATTTGCACATACAGCAACACACAAACTAGAAAGACAGAAACTGATTAGCAGAATGTTGTCAGAAAGCCAAAAACAGCAACAGAAGTTAGACAAAACACTAAAGTAAAATTAACCTGTGAT